GGCAGAGTTGCTCTGCCCCGGGCTTCCTGGAATCAGCTGCTGATCAGTTTCAGCAGCAGCTGACTTGGAGACGCCTGGGGTTCTTAAGTTGATTCTGTATGTAAGTCAGAACTGGCGGTCAGTTTCAGCAGTGTCTGAATCTGGACGCCAGTTCCGACTTACATACAGATTCAACTTAAGAACAAACCTACAGTCCCTATCTTGTACGTAACCCGGGGACTGCCTGTATTTAAATAAGTAAACTATTACTTGCATTATATGTTACAATGACTTCATTTCCATTCTAGTTCTGTATAATTGCCTAATAAATCAAATGCTCGTTTGTCTTGAAGAATGATTTTTATAGTGATTTTTCAAAAAGTTTGACTTCATTAAAAAAGCAAAAGAATACTCACTTTAAGATGCTTCATGCTTTGGATTTTTCACATTCTGTGGGGAAAACAGAGCTAACATTCCCATTTTTATATCCCATCAAGCCATTTTTTCTGACTTTTATCAGCATCTGGTAGAAATAGAATCCAAAATTTCCTTAAAATAAACAGTTGTAAGGAAAACTGAGGTTTTTTTTGGGGAGGGGGGAGACTTTAAAAGTGTAAATAACATGTACTGTTGCAGTAATCTTTGCACTGATTCTCTCTAATATCCACAGAGCCCACAGTTGTGCCAACAACCTCAGTTAGAGTTGAAACCCAGGTTGTGAGTTCTACTTCTGGTAACAGTTCGAATACATCTACCTCAGAGCAGGCCTCTGATGCTCCTCTAAGTGTCTCCAATAGCCAGATCTCTACAGCACCAGAGATATTGACTAATCTTCCCAATAGCAGCACTGCTGGGACTTCAGTGGGAGGTAAAGAGTAACAGAACTTTCTCAAGATCTGTTTTATGTTTAAATTGTTTTGCCACCTGTTGAAATCTGTTTAGACCTGACTTGACTTTGTTGAAATGAGTTATTGGCTCTCTACAGATACTGTTTTACAAAAGGACAAATTTAGATACTTTCCAAAGTAACACAGTTCATTAATATTTAACACAATAGAAATTAAAGACGCCTCAAGTTTAAGGCCAGACTATGCCTGTCCCTTTGGAAGTGTCCTCAAGAAGAGAGATCTTAGGAGACTTCCTCAAACACAAATATGTTGGAGTCAGTTACCATTGGACTTCAGGGGAGCTTGAAGTAATTCAGTACTATCTACAATACTGTTAGACCCAGGATGGGGGACTTCCCTGGCCATAGTATGTGTGCATGGGACCTAACCAGCAGCTGCAACAAAACCTGAGTTTGAGTAGACTTGCACTATAGTAATGCAAGAGTTCTGACAATTCACATGCACATATCTAGCTGAATATTTTAGGACTTCCGATGCATATAAATGAAGCCATCTTTCATATTCTTTACAACTGTTTGAGTTTCAAGGATGGTTTGGTAAAGTCTCCTGTAATTTTGATTGTGGACATATTTCCTAGCCAGTTACTGATATTTAATAGGTTGCTGATTGATTAAATCCAGATTGTTCTGTTTCAGACACCATTTCATAATGCATTGTCCACTTCCTTGCCCAAGCAACACAAAATTTGTTTAATTTTTCTCCATTTTAAGATGATGTAAGGAGAACTGCCTCTAGTACTGCACTGGAAACTGGTCCTCCTGCCATGCCAAGGTTACCGTCATGCTGCCCCCAGCATTCTCCGTGTGGAGGATCTTCACAGAATCATCATGTATTAGGACACCCTCACGCAAGTTGTTTCCAGCAGCATGGCCACCATTTCCAACACCACCATCACCACCACCATAATCCCCACTCTACTGTCCCACTGTCTCCTTCATTCAGTGACTCCAGTTGCCCTGTTGAAAGGCCTCCTCCAGTGCCAGCTCCTTGTGGAACAAGCAGCAGTACTGGCACCACCTATCATGATCAGGCATGTTTAACTTTGATGATTTTTCACTTTTAAAAATGTAAAGTGATGTTGTTGGTATAATAGACTAAGACTACTGTATTGGGAATTCACTTATCTGGGGCAGTTGCGAAAGAGGCTTGAAAGAGGAAAATTTGAAACATGCATTCTGAGCAATGGGTTTTTTGTATTCAAAACAGAAAAAAACCCAAATGTATTCATTGACTATTGACACGATCTGTCACTTATACACTTTTTGAAACTTTAAATTTTTTTTATAACTATGGAATTTATATCAGGTCCAGCTAAGAAGAATACTAACGTTACTGTTGGTATCTATGGAAATGTACAGTGAGGCTCCCCCATGAGCATTGAATTAAGATTTCTTTTTTGAACAAATGTCTATAAAATTGAAAATAATGAAGTTAAGTTGAACTCTTGAGTGTAAACATTTATGTTCAACTCAGTCCTCCTCCTTTACAGTGTTCACTAAGCTTATGAACTTTAAACAATCATATCTAAAGAGTTCTCGAAATTGGGGGTCTTATTTATCTCATTAAATATTTCACTTACAAAACAATGCAGTAAATATATATTGTTACAGTACACTTAAAGGTGACCTAGCTTTAAATATTTGAAGAAATGCTTGAAAACAAGTCAGTTTGTTTATACAGCAGGCACTGCCCGTAGACTTAAGCAACAATGGTATAAGAAGTCATGGAAGTGGTGCTTTCCATGGAGCATCGGCATTTGACCCTTGTTGTCCTGGTTCTTCATCCCGAACTGCAATTTATGGGCACCAGGCTGGTGCTGGCCCAAGCCAACCAATAGCAATAGATGGATATGGAACAAGCATGGTTGCACAGCCCCAGCCCCAACCTCCTGCTCAGGCTTCGCTCTCATCATGTCGACATTATATGCACTCTCCTTGTAAGTACACTTACTCTACGTCTCAATACAGTTTTGTGAAATACAAAACAGAAAGCATAATTTCCCTGACCACTTCGGTTGTGCCATCCTCTTGATTGAGCCTTAGAACCAAGGCCTTAGAACCAAGCCTTAGAACCAAGTCTACGATGAGAGAGAGAGAGAGAGACTTTTACTATTGGAAAACTATCTGGGTCTTTCTGCAAATCCTTGCAGCTTGGAGAAGACTTAAAAACAAAACAACTGATTATACTGCTTTGACTGTGCATAAGACACAGGGAAGATGAAGGTTTTTGTTTGTTACTGGGAATTAATTATTTGCCCTAGAAGTGCCAACTTTATATATAAATCCTTGAGGTTGTAATAGTGAAAAATGCCTTTTAGGGTAAGTCATCTAAGGTCTAATTAAAAGGCAGCGTTGCTTTTTTTTAAAAGCATATTTTAGATAAACTGTTTCCCACTTAGCACTATACACAGTGTTATTTGAACAGATTGTAAGACCTGAAATTTTATTATCTAAAATAATGCACGGGAGTTATTCTCTTTAGCGGTGGTGGGGAACCTGTGGACTATGGGTTGGATCTGGCCAGCTGTATCATTTAATCTGGCCCATGGCAGGGCCCTGAGTTGAGGGCCAGAAGCCACAAGTTTCAGCACTCCCACCCCTCTCGGAGATGAGCTTATCCCTTTGGCCCCTAGGTGGAGAGGCAATCAGGAAAGCTCTGTGTGCTGGCTCCACAGCTCTTGTTGTCCAGGAACTGTGGCCAATGAGAGCTGCAGGGGTGGTGCCTTCAAAGTGCAGTCAGCATGCATTGCACAGAACTGCCTGTCCTTTCCACTTAGAACAGGGATGGGCAAGAGAACCTCCATGGGTAGGCTTTGGCCCAGCAAACCTTTTGATCCAACCCATGGCTGCCCTGCTGCTACCCTGCACCCAGGCCAATTGACACCTGGGTCTGGGAGAATGTGTGAAGTCTTCTATCCCATGCCAGGAGCATGCGGCACCAGAGGGATGGTTGTCTAGTCATCACGAGTGGCAGGGGACAAAGACTTTATGCGCCCCCCCAGGCCAGTTGGCATGGACGGGGAGAGCCCAGGAAGTCTCCTGGCCTCGCCCAAGGCCCTACCCCTTCTGGGGCTCCCCGGGGCCACTTCAGAAATTTGTGAAGTGGCGCCCTTTTTAAAATTATTGCTCAGCCCTAGAGGCTGCTTATGGGAGTAGCATAGAGCCACGGCGGAGTGGAGGGTCCTGTCTTAGCCCTGTTGTGCTGCTGCTTTCTCGGAGGTGAGTGCTGCCCAGCCAGAGCCCATATCCTGAACCCCCTCCTGCATCTCAACCCTGAGTTCCCTCTCTCACGCAAACTTCTTCCCAGAAGCCTGCACCTTGAACCTCCTCCCACACCCTTATCCCAGTCCAGAGCTGCCTCCTGTATCCTGAATCTCTTACCCACATTCCCATCTGGAACTCTCTCCCCGCTCCCCCAACTCTCTGCCTCAACCCTGAGTCCCCTTCTGCATTCTGAGCTCCTCATTTCTTGCACCACCCCAGAGGAAGTTAGGAGTCTCTGTGCCTGCTCTCTTCCTTCTGCAGGACTGTGTATGGCCTCTGCCTTTTTTCCCCCTGAGGTTCAGTGCCCCTGATTTAATTTAAAAAAAAAAAAGGTTCCCTACCTCTGCTCTTTAGGCTCTCTCATTGTGTGTGAACTCAGATAAACATTTTTCAAACTTAAACTTATGTCAGTGTTTGAGGCTCTCTTCCCTGTCCCCCTCCCCCCTTGTTATTTACCATAACTCATTTTGTGATAGAATAAATATCAGACTTCACTTTTTTTGTGTTTTGCTTTCTCCCCCAGCTCATCTGAGACTGGTAGTCTAGATCCTTTCCTGAGGAAATGATTGAACAGTAAATAAAGATGTATTTTCTACTTTATTTTTAAAATAAATAAAATGCCACTTCTTTATTTCCTTTTGTCCCCTTCTTGCAATGAGCTTTGCTTGGGCAGACTCTTTAAATCAGTGTGGCCTGTCTCGAGCTTAGGGATCTACCTGTGCAGAGCTAATTGTAGGGTTGGGGCACTTTTGTGCTTTTCGTCTCCATTTCTTTGCCTCTCACAATCCATTTTTAAATAATGGCTTTGAAATATTTGAGGATGTTATTCAAAAGTAACCCTCTGTTGCGAGGGCTGTTGTACAGAAATGGGAAATCTATTTATTGCTTAAGGCTGTGTGTTTGTAGTATAAACCCAGAGTGCAAACTCAGTGTAGCCTGACCTCCACTTCTGTCTACATACAAATTATGCTAATGCAGGATCCTACAGGGGTTGAGGGTCCAAGTTTGAGTCAAGCTAGTACCCAGGATTCAAGCCCTATTGCTTTGCAGAGTAGACACATTGTGATTGGACTTGCGTTCTGGGGTCCACTGTAAATGTGCCATAATCCCATAGGTTGACTTTCTTTGTCTTCTGAACAGTCATATTTGGTGGACAGGCAAGGTTTCCCCCACTGCACCATGAAAAAGGTCACGGTGACCACTTTTTGGGGAAAGGGGCTAGGAAGGTCTGGGATATGGGTAATTGGATTAGTGTCTGCACAATGTAGTGTAGGTAGTAGAACCCCATGTTGGGACCCAGGGTTCAACTACTTCTAATTTGGGGTTACATATAAGCATAGAAGCTCAAGACCTAGATTAACAAACCCAGGGTTTGCTAATGCGAGTTCTGCTAATCCTGGGGTTACACTTCTGTGTTAACAAACATGAAATATCAGTTGGGATGTCCAGAGATTTATTTTCCTGTAACAATGCCAATTGTTCAGTGTTTGTTTTGAAAACAGTCAGGAAGGTGGACTTGCAAGGAGGTGTTGACTTTTCATGGTGATGACCAGGGCTTGACAAATGGCAGCGAAAACCGCTCGCCAGCCTCATACTGCACATGTGCAAGAGCCGCGTTGTGAATGCGCGCGCTGCGAATGAATGGGGCGCACGGCTGAAATCTACTCGCCCATGGGCGAGTAGATTGTATAGTTTGTTGAGTCCTGGTGATGACTATTACTACTGTAACATGTACAAGCTTAGTCATAGGACAGTGCCCCATTGTTGTAGCCGCTATAGAAATACAGAACACAATTCTTTTTCTCTTGTTTTTTTTTTAATGCCTTGAGTTTTAAAAAAAGAGATTGACATCATCCTGGTGGTTTTTATCAGGTGTGTTATAAAGAGATTTTTTTTTTTAATCAGTGTTAGCAAGTTGGATTTTCTTATAAAGAAAAGAGTTTTATTTTTTTCGCATGCTCATCAGTTTTTTAATGGTAGCCTGCTGGTTGTTTATCCTTCTATCTCCAGTTATCAAGGAGCATGCTATGAAAACTGGCTTTCTGGTTCGTTTATTTTGTCCTGCTCATGTAAAATACTGATAGGAAGATTTGGCTTTTATTTCACTCACTTTTTGTGAATTTTACATGTTGTTGATTTGTCAGTGCCTGTAAATCATAGTAAAAGATTAAATGCTCATGTTGTTAGGGGTGTAAAAGAGTAGTCAACTACTCGCATCCCCCCCCCCCCCCCCCCCACAAACTGGTGCTGTGGGGAGCATGCTTAGAAGTGCTGTGGCTCTTACTACAGGTGGCTCTTACTATATTTAAAAGGCACAGCCACAGCAGACTGGATCCAGCGCAGTCCGGGACAGAAGCAGTTCCTGCTCACACCGTGTCCTGTGCTGCGGCTCTGTCTTCTAAATGTAGTAAAAGCCAGGTGGTTCTTAACATTTAAAAGGCAGAGCCACCACGGTGGGGTTAGCTCCTGGGAGCGGTGTAAGCCAGGAGTGCTTAGTTCCTGGGCCACATGAGCCAGGTGCTAACTTCACTGTGGCTCTGCAGTTCAAATGTAGTAGGAGGTAGGTTGCTGCCAGGTTCCTACTATATTTGAACTGCAGATACGCAGGGGTAGCGAGCACTCTCCTCCCGCCTCATCAACTAATCAAGTAGTTCATGGAAATTCCATTGACTACTTTATTAGCTGATTATCCGCAATTTAACATCCCTAGTTGTTGTAAAGCTACTGTTCGGATGGAGTAGTACAGCACTGGCATGAAGTTATCTTAGTTTTTTATGCATTTGATTGAGAAAATTTATTTAATATGTTAAAAATGCGTTTTCATTCCAGATGCTACTTTGACGAGACCTCTCCATCAATCTTCTGCATGCCCCCACTCCCATGGAAATCCTCCTCCTCAGCCACAGCCTCCACCTCAAGTAGATTATGTTATCCCTCATCCAGTGCATCCTTTCCATCCTTCCATCTCCTCTCATGCCTCTTCTCATCCAGTTCCACCTCCACCTCCACCACCAACTCACCCGTTAGCCAGTGCAGCTGCTCCAATTCCACAGCATCTTCCACCTACACACCAGCCTATTACCCATCATATTCCTGCAACTGCACCTTCAGCGCAGAGGTTGCACCCTCATGAAGTGATCCAGAGGATGGAGGTCCAGAGAAGAAGAATGATGCAACATCCAACGTATGTCATTAATGTTTAGTTACTGTGTTGAGTACATTTAATTCTTTATCTTCAGGTTTTTCAAATGCAGCATGTGACTCATAATTGTAATACCATTGTTAAAAACACTAAGAATTAATAAGATTCACATTGCACCACAGTTTATCTACCACCACAATTAGCTCTTGTATTCGCATAGGGATGGGCAGTAATTTTTCATGGGGGGGGCCACTCCAAGAATTTGGAAAGGGGTCGAGAGCCAAACTCTTCCATGATATTAATGGAGGAGGTGTGGGGTCTGGGATGGAGATTGGGTGCAGGAGAGAGCTTGGGGTTAGGGAGGGAGTTTGGGTGAAGGAGGCAGTTGTGACCTTGGGCACTGGACTGATGTACAGGGGGTTTGATTGTAACCTAGGACAGGGAATTGGGGTACAGGAGGGGTTGCAGGATATGGGTTGTGAACTGGGGTAGGAGGGGACTGTGATCTAGGTACTGGAGGTGGGCAGAGGATTTTGGTAAGTGAAGTAGGGGGCAGAAGTGGGTAGGGGGCAGGAGTGGAGAGCAGAGGGATGGGGAAGGGAGGGACTGGGGTGCCAAAAGCAGGCTCTGCCCAGGAGACTTACCAGCCAGCAGCCATTCCTGAATCAGCCTCCCTGCCTGCCAGTGTTCCCTCTAAGCTGCCTGGCAGCACAGCTTCACAGATGATTAATCAGCCCTGACCAGTCAGCTGAGCCTCTGACTAGGTGGGGCTGATAAATAGCCTGTGAAGCTGTGCTGCTGTGCAGTTTAGAGGGAACACTTCTGCCTACCCTGCCCTGCACGAATTGCAGCCTTGTACTCTGGAACCCCTTGTGCTTCATGGCTGCCTGTTATTGAAACAAGCAACTCCTATTGGCTGGGTTCTGGCTAGAAGCCAGCCAGTGGGATTGTGCTAGGGGTGGTAGCATCTCCTAAAGCTTTTCCCTCGCCTCTCCAGACTCAGTTTTTTTTAAAAAACCACCCTGCAGCTGTGTTTGAGTGGTGTATGGGTGGGGTGAGGCAAGTGGGGAGCCTGCTTGGGCTCCCTGCAGCATCTGTGGGTCGGATCCGATGGATTGACAGGCTGGATGCAGCCCACAGGCTATATTTTGCCCAGGCCTGTATTAGCAGTTGCAGTAGAAAAGCCAAGGACTGAGTGAGAGCTGAGGCTGAACTACCTTCCCTCTTGTTAAGATGGCCCTTCCAGGAAAAAACAGAGATACCTTAGTGGGGTAGCTCTCATTTTTCCCCATGCTTTACCTGAACTTTGAATAAGCAGAGTTCAATTTCTGGTGCAAGCAGTTTTCACTTTTAATTACCACTAAAAGGTAATTGGAAAGCTAATGTTACACACTAATAATAAATAAATAGAAATCACCAGGGCTCGACAAATAACACTCGCCGGCTCGCCTGTGGTGAGTAGATTTTACCAGCTGGCGAGTGCGGGGGCGGACGGGCCCGGTGGGCGGTTGTGACGGGCTGGCAGAGGAGCAGAGCGCCGCTGGGAAGGGGGAAGTGCAGTGATTCTTGCCACCAGGCTGCCTGCATGAAGCTCCGGCGCGAGGAGGTGGGGTGGGATGTCAGGACGCTAGCGTGACGTGGCCCCACTGATTTTAAAGAGCCGCGGCAGTTCAGCTCTGGCCGCGTGTCCCTGGGAACTGGCTGTGATGCAGC